AAGATCATGGTTTGTCGCCGGATGATGTTTCTGCGGCAAGTCGTGCTGGTCTGCATGGTCGTGTCGATGTTCCTCAACTTTTGGATGTTAACAGGTGAGTGTACGAATCTCTAACATCTACACACACACACACACGTGCGCGCACATACGTACACATACACACACATACATCATACTCATACACACACACATAACATAGTACATGTACAGTCATATATACATACATACAGATAAACACAGACTCTCTCACACACACACTATGATAAACACAGACACATACGCACTCACATACATACATACATACATACATACATACATACATACATACATACACACACACACATAGACGCCCCCACACCCACACAGACATACAAACATACATACACATGGCTGCTAGAAGCGTGTGCGTGTGTGAGTATGTGTGTGGGAGTCTCATAGAAGCATGATGTAGTCAGGCTGACACTAATGTTCCTTCGACATACCCAGGTACTGAACTTCAGAACGTGACGTCACACATTGACCTTGGGGAAGCCGTCCAGACTTGTGAACCGTGCCAGAGAGAAATGCTGTCAGCCTCCATGAACGAGACACTCCGCGGACACAAACACAGAATGGAACGGCGCATACAACAGGTAAGGAAAAGGTCACATTGTAGAAAGAATGTACATTGTACTACATGTACCAGAATGTGCTACTAGAATGTAAACAAATATGGTAGTGTTCTTCCAGGTTTTAAACACACTCGTAAGGGGTCATATATTTGGCACCTCCACTTCCTGATCGACACTTCAATGATTTGCAATGTATGGTTTATTCAACTTACTTTGTGAAGAGATTACTAGATTAATTCATTATTGTGTCGTCCTATTGAATGTTACATAATATTATCAATAGTCCTGATGTTACATAACGCATCTTGTCCTGCAGCACAGAACTACCTCACCACCTCCTGCCAACCCGGTCAGACCGCCTGGTGCTGTCACCGACTCCATACGACTAGCGGGCAGTCTGCGTCCAGACAAAGGTACTCAGGGAATGATTACTAATCTGCAAGCAGATCTTTCGGTGGCAAAGTCGTAACTAAATCGGTAATAGTATGTCCCTGTCACATACTGAGAACCTTTCCCCGATCACCACCAACCTAGGTTGGCCACAGCTACATTTCTGTATGAGTAGAATCGAATTTGAATTAAATTTGAGTCAAATTTGACCCTCAAACATTGCTAACCTACTCCTACGACTATGAAAACAAATCCTTATTTCGTACGTACAAATGTACTGTGTTTCCATTTTTCCAGGATTTCTGACTATAGGGATCCCCACTGTTAAGCGGGACCAGAACGCCGCGTATCTGACCACCACTCTAGACTCCCTGATCAGCCACACGACAGAGGCTGAACGCAAACAGATCGTCATCGTGGTCTTCCTGGCAGACTTCGACACAGACTACAACAGGGAACTTTCCACGGAACTTTCCCGCAGGTATTCTCGGCATCTCAGCAGTGGGTTCATGCAAGTCATCCAGGCTCCGCGGTCGTTCTATCCAAGTTTAGACAATTTGAAAACTAAGTTTAAAGACAGCCCTGAACGCGTGCGGTGGCGATCCAAACAGTGCGTGGACTACGCGTACTTGTTCCAATACTGCCGAAACTTGTCCGAATATTATATGCAACTGGAAGATGATGTTATTTCCGCCCAGAACTTCTTGACAGGGATAAAAGAATACTTGGAAAGAATGAAGTCTTCTGACTGGACGGTGCTCGAGTTTTCTGGACTCGGTTTTATCGGGAAGTTGTTCAGATCCTCGGATCTCCAGCGTCTGGCCGATCTTATTATGCTGTTCTACCAGGAGTCGCCGGTGGATGTCTTGTTTTTCTCGTTTCTGCACATCGTGCAAGCGTCCGAGAAGAAATTCATACACAAGCCGTCCCTCTTCCAGCACGTCGGCTTACACTCATCGCTGGCGGGAAAAATACAAAAACTTACCGACAAGGGGTTCGTTCGTGGCTCGACGACACCGAAGAGAACGTACACGGACTCTGACAACCCACCAGCGGCGGTGAGCGCGAACATGACCGCTTACAGGGAGTTCAAGCCGCAGCTTGCCTACGGCCCCGAAATACGGTTCTTCTGGGCAGAAGCGCCGAAGGTCGGACAAGTTTTCGTCGTTCTTTTCGAGAAACCAGCGAGACTTTCCAGGATCGTTATAGAAACCGGCTCTGAAGAACATCCAAAGGACATCCTAGAGAAGGGGACTCTGGAAGTCAGCCCGCGGCTTTTGTCTGTGAACCAGCAGGATAACACGCCGAACTGTGCCGACTACGTCAAACTCGGAAACGTCGAAAACGGAAGATTTGAAGTGGCGACTCAGGGCACGGAAGGACTGGGGTCGCTTGAGGTGAAGTGTCTGAAGGTGACGGTCACGGGGGAGCAGAAGATGTGGGTACTGGTGAGGGAGATCGCCGTCTGGACAGTCAAGAAATAAAGCACCCTCGGTGGCATGGCAGGATTTGAACTCGGGACCTCCTGGTTCCGGGCCAAGCACTCTGCCGTTACGCCACTCGGTATGTGATTTTAGGACGTAGCTAGGTACCTCGACCGAATGTCGGTGTGGTCTCGTTCTAGAATATGGTCACGTTATTCGGTCATTACCGCTCACCTACCCGGATAGGCACTGCCCTAAAACCACGTTCTGTGGACTACCTCTGACATAGCAATCGACATTTCATAGTAGTCAGCTGCTGATCCCAACACGAGCAGGAGTGAGTGAGTTCCTTCTTGTGTTGGTACAAAGTTTAAACTCTACAACTAGTTAACTTTGTATTCTACCAACACGTACGAGCTTTCTTCACCTTCATTCCATTTGAAGAGCTGCAGGGTTGTGTCACGCCCGGCCTGCACTGTTTTACACGGACGCCAGATGTCGCTTCTGTAACGTCTCTTATCCATTGTCAGTCCATAGTTAGTGTAGTTGTGCGCCCTTACGAAACAATAGGTCACCAGCAAAAAATGCTATTATAGCATTTTTTAATAAATCATGCCAATGAGGTCCTTATTTGAATAAGTCATGTTTAATTATGTTCACCTTCACTCAACTTTCAAACACCCCAAGTATGAAATTCCAGGCAGTTATCACTATGCAATTTTAACATTTTCTCATTAATTATGCAAATAAAGTCTTCATTTGCATAATCGATATCTGCCTATGTTTCTCTCGTTCTTAATAACATATGTCACAAGCTTGAATAGTCCTATCATGGAATGCAGCTGATTTATAGAATTTCCTCATTAATTATGCAAATTACATCTATATTTGCATAATCGTAATATTATTATGCCAAGCATCACTTAAGCTACCTACATACCAAAAATCACAATGATCCATCAATCGGGTCTTGAGTTATCCTCCTTTTAAACATTTTCCTTTAAAACCCTCTGCAGTTCCAGAACAAGCTGCTAGGGGGCTCAAACTCATGTAACTTCACCCCGAGCTCACGAACTATCTACCATGTACATTTCGTGACCCCAGCATGTCTAGATCATGAGATATCAAAACCGGAAGTTCAGCTGTAGTACCATGACAAACCGCCAGGTGGCCCAAAATTTAATCATTTTGAGGTGTCACCAAGACCTACCCACCTACCAAGTATAAAGACAATCCATCAAGGCCTTCTACGAGTTATCGTGTTTACACACACACACACACACACACACACACACACACACACACACACACTCGACACACACAC